AAATCGAACATATACAATATCAGTCTGTGCATAAGCAAAGAATATGTAACCAAACCCTAAATGAAGCGAAGAAAACATGTTAATAACAGCAACCCACCTGGAACACACAGCTTCTTGGGCGACATGTTTTCAAGAAGCGACAGTCGCGTTTTGATTGGCTATTAGTCAGCGGGCAACTCGCGCTCTGATTGGTCACTTCATCGCAGGCGGTTCGCGTAAACCGCCATATTTGTTGTGGCTGTAAATGTAAATGTAATTCGGGAAGAATTCTTACATGTTGAATGGAGAAGGTTTGGACGTTGCCTATTAAGTATATGCAAAATGCCAAGTTTTTTGGAACTTGAAAAAATATTATTCTTGTGTTATTAATTATATTAGTAATTGCAACTTCATTATTTACATAAAGTCAATATTCACGGATTAATATTTTACAGAAAAAATTCAAAAAAACCTTTCTTATCCATTTTTTAACATACAATTTATTTTTTCGTCTTAGTTTGCATTTAGAAGTTTAGGATACATGACAAAAATAATATTGATTTGTATGTTTTTTAATGATCTATTGTGATAGATATGTTTGTATTTTGTGTCATTAGGAATCAGAATCAAGCAACTTATTTCTGCTTAAGTAAGCCAACATTTATTAGGGCTTGCACATAAACTCACATATGTGTACATATAACTATCTTTCAGTCAAGCAAAATAATTGTAACAATTGCTGTACAAACAAAATGCAAAAGAACAGACAAAATGATATAATTACTGAATATTGGGGCACAATATTCAACATTTCCTTAATGGTGAATGTTTGCAGGAGACTTGGGTCAAAATGCATTGAACGTGACATGGATTACAGCACATCTTCAACATACAGTGACATTTACCACAGAAAAAGTGACAGAAAATGACGTCTCCAAAAAGCTCACGGGAATATAATCTGCTGTTAATCACCAACCAAACTCACTTCTCGACTCTAGGTGTAGGTGAATCCTAAAAACGAACCGTTACGCAGATCTCGTGGGATATTTCAAGAACATTTCTGTGGGTGTTCAGAGATATTTAGCAGCGGTACAAAGCATGAATCACACAAAACTTCTGCAGCCCACCCGGTGATTAATATATGCTGTTGCCTGGCAACAGTTGTCAAAGCCATGCCATCACAGACAAACACATGTGCTATCATTTGAAATGTGCGACCGAGGATCTTCAGTGCCGAGACTATATAAAGCTAAAATCCCTCCTCGTGGCTCAGTTTCACTGCATTTACACACATACCCAAGCAGTTACATTTCAATTGTATTGGGATGGTCCCGATTGAGAGCATTTGGAAATGAATGATTGGTCAGTGGTTTGGTTCTAGGCTCACGGTATAACACTGGTTGCATTTGTGAGGAGGATTGCGTGAAGTAATAATCTACTTCTTGGCTTTGCCCTGAGCAGCGACGGCCTCCATGGCTTTGCGGACAGTCTCTTCATCTCCCAGGAACTGCATGGGCTTCACAGGCTTCAGGTTCTTGTCCAGCTCATAAAGGATGGGAATTCCTGTGGGCAGATTCAGCTCCATAATCGCCTTCTCTGACATACCTGGCAGAAACACACAGGTTATAATACGCACAATCAAATAGATGCTCATTTAAACGTAGTGGATGGTTGCTAGGGTGTTGTTATGCATTTGCTAAGATATTTTGAAAAACCTTAATCTGGATATTATTAAGAGCCAGTGTGAATAACCCTACGATTTCTGTAATGTTGAAAACAAGGACAGGATTGTGGAATCCAGTCATAAAAATGGAATTTGCAGCATAACTCAATGTCACAGAATTTGGCAAATTTTGGATAAATTAATCAAGAGAAATTCTGACAGGCATATATTACTATTGTACAGTGGAAGGTACTTCAAAAAGTAATAATACAATTAATTATACTTTATTTTTTAAGGAACATCACAATTTTTCTTGCATGTTTTAATTTTGACAGTAAACTTCTGTTGTGCAGCATTTTATTTGCCCAAAAAAAATTGTTATATTTGAATTTGATTACATTTTAAAAATTAATAACATTTGTAATTTTTTGCCTTCACTTGATTGCCAACATTTTTGATAATAGATTTGCATTAAATCAAATTAATTAGGATGAGAATAATAAAGCCACAGAATATGTGAAAAAAATGCTTCATAGGGCCCTATTTTTCGTTAAAAAATAATACTTTTTTTAAATTTAATTGATTATAAATGCTTTTTGATTATTAAAATTGATTTAACCATTAAAACAGAAAACATTGAATTTGTGAAAAAGAAGACAGACTTTTTGTAAAAAAAAAAAAATTCATAGGACACAAATTTAATTAATAATGTGTTGCTAACTTGCATAAGTTGCATGATTTTAAATTATTTAGACATGTTTTCTGATGCTTTCTTTAGGGCCCTAAAAATTTAGGTTAAACATTTAATAAATTGTTACATTGTATAAGTTTCAAGCTTTTAATTAATTAGACATGCTTTTTGATTTTTAAAATTTTATTATACCATTAAAACAAAATCCAGAAAAATGTATACAAAAAAAAAAAAAGAAAGAAAAATACATTTTATAAAGAAAAACATTTAATAAATTGGTGTTAAACTTTTCATGATTTCAATTAATTGGACATGTTTTTTGATTACTAAAATGAAATGTAACCATTAAAATGGAAAAATTAAAAGGAAAAAAAACAACAAATTTAGGAAAAATGAAACCGATTTCATAGGATCCTATGCATTAGCTCCCACCAGACTCCTCTTGGTCTCATTCAGGGTGTTTTTCGGGTGTATATACTGTATGGTGTAATATCAGGGCCTGGGCTTTAGGGTATTTGAGAGGGTTTCTCACCCTCCAGGTGTTTGACGATTCCTCGCAGGCTGTTGCCGTGAGCAGCGATGAGGACCCTCTTGCCCTCCTTGATTTGAGGAACGATTTCCTCGTTCCAGAACGGCAGCGCTCGAGCGATAGTGTCCTTCAGGCTCTCGCACGCGGGCAGCTGGTCCTCCGTCAGGTCGCCGTAGCGACGGTCCTGCAGCGACATCACACTCAGTGTCACATGATCCTTCAGAAATCAATCTAGCTCAAGAAACACTTCTGCTGATTATCAGTGTCCTGCTCACCTTGCTGATGGCGGAGTAGAAGTCGTGCTCGGGGTCCATGGGTGGAGGTGGGATGTCGTAGGAGCGTCTCCAGATCTTCACCTGCGCCTCGCCGTGTT